GACAAGATTTTGCACCGTGTGATTTATGTGGCTGTGTGGTGAGGAAGGACTGCTGTGATAAACGTGTCTAATAAAAGAGGAAGGTAATCATATCCCCTCACTCTTGTTAACTCACAAACCTGACACTATGAGATATTCATCTTCTAACACCAATTTGCTCCATTAAGGATGCTCTAATTGTGAAGATGTTATCTGTAGTGAAATATTTTCTGTCATCACATCTTTTTTTTAACTCACTAACACATTAATCTAACTGTCATGTTCATGTCTGCGTAAAGCCAATTAACTTTCCAACACCGCAGCACAGTTTAAGAACTGTTAGTGTCGATGTTCTCGGCTTTGCTGTTGTCTATGGTTTCACATGCTGGCAGGGAAGAGTTTGTGTTTGTGTGCGTGTTTTCGAGGGTCATGACATGTTGCAGAAACACGCGAGGGTTGTACCACGATGTGAAAGTGTCTTGCTGATTCCAGTTATGCAACACATGTGAAATTCATCCCACCAAGATTGAGAAGCAGCTGCTAGATCACGAGGTGTGTGTGTGTGTGTGTGTGTGTGTGTGTGTGTGTGTGTGTGTGTGTGTGTGTGTGTGTGTGTGTGTGTGTGTGTGTGTGTGTGTGTGTGTGTGTGTGTGTGTGTGTGTGTGTGTGTGTGTGTGTGTGTGTGTGTGTGTGTGTGTGTGTGTGTGTGTGTGTGTGTGTGTGTGTGTGTCTCAGACTCAGAAAGAAGCTAATAATCTGTGGGTCATCCCCATGTCCTCGTGGTTTTACCAACAGGTGCTTTTTTATATTCTGCAATTATAACCATTGAAGGTCTTTGAGAAGCTGATCCAGAAGACAAACTTACATTTGATCAATTATTATGCACATTATTTTCTGAGTTATGAAAGTATTTAATCCATGACTCTATATATGCTTTATAATGAGACTTCACATATATTTCAAGATTTGTTTCTGACTTTTCTGTTTCTGATTTTGATCCATTTCGAAAGGAAGGATTTGGTTTTACAAAAATGTTTGGAAACAAAGATTCAGGGCTGGGTCAATCAATGTCGTTGCCCTTCAATTAGCTTTGAGGAATATAAACATGTATTCCCTTTGTCCCTCTTTTTTCAAATAACGAGAAGAGAAGTTCAAAAATATGACCAAGCATTCATTACTTTCTTCACTTGACACCTTTTAACACTTGATACAATGGACACATTTTCTTTTCTATTCTGGATGTATAAGATGATATTTGAGAATATGTTTTGTGTTCACAGAAAATGGATTGCTGAGCTGCAACAAGTAGATCATACAACCCAATCATTTATATGTTTTCTTCACATAAAGTTTGGATATTAGGAACAATAACAAATATCTCCTGAAATGTAGAGTGCATGTGGGCATGTGAGTATTGCTTTAAGTCAAACATTTCAACATATCCTTTAGGTTTCACACTCGGCCTATACAGTGTACCTCGAAAATTGTGTTATTTCTTGCATTGTTAAGAATGTTTTCCCCATTGATGTTGGGAAATATATTTCTATATAGGCTAAATAAAAATAGTATAGAGGCAAGTCCCCTCATTGCTGGGACTCATGAACCCAGTAAATCTAAAACCGGCGCTCTGGCCCTGATAAGATGTGTTAAGTCTATAGGTTATGTCCTAGATGCACCTGCCACAGTGTAGTATGAGCTGCAGTAAACTGCAGAGCAACATTAATGGTTTCGTCCTTTAGTTCCTTAACCACAGCTGTGTGTGCAAATATCAGTGTTAGTCATTGAATGTGTGTAATGTTGGTAAGTAACACACACTCATGCACGCACCTTCCTTAAATTTCAGATGACCAAACCCAGCAAACCCCCCCCCCCCCCCAATCCCTCCCTCTCTCTCTCCCTCCCTCGCTCTGTCATTAGGTGTCATATCTATTTAGGGTTCCCCCGCTGTTCTGCATTTACTCTCGATTTCTCTCTCAGGCGAGCTAAGAAGCAGCAACATTCAACTCCAGCTCACCAGATCTTTCGAGTAAAACTGTGGGATGGAAAAGACAAATAGGATTTTATCTTATGTTCACAGAGGAATCATTTTGTCGGGAGGAATGTAGCACCAGATTCATCGGAGGAACCAGAGTCTGCTTTCGGGAAACCCCTCCACTGGAGATTATGTGAGGCCTAACACCTGATGTGTGCAGGACATCAATTTCAAAGATCTCAGTGTACGAGCAAAGGAACTGCTCAGTATTGACTTGTAACTCATGGGGTCCCTCGATGTCCCCAGTCCGTCCTCTTCAAACTCGGATGGCGAGTCCCCCGATCGTACCCTGGCCCCGGACTCCTCTCGCCACACCTCTCACACAGGGAAGCAGACCCAGCTGGGGGGCCTGGGCTACGGGGTCATGGTGGCCTGGGACCACCTCAGGCCCTTCATCCCCTTCTTCCTCATCAGCTTCATGGTCGTGGCCCTCGTCTACCTGATGCAGGCCATCATCTTTGGCGGGCCCTTCAAGGACCCTCTGTTCTTTGTGAAGTTCAACGAGCGATGGCCCCGGCCCGCTCCATACAAACAGAACCCTCCAAAACCAACCAAGTTTTTCAGTCCGGTCCCTTCCTCGTCCTTCGAGCAAGTCCTCTTTGAAAGTCACAGAGACAACGAGACAATGTGAACTCAAAAACTGGAGGACATTTTGTATTTCTTTGTGGACATGAGCACCAAAGACTCTCCTAGGATTGCAGGTCTCAGTTCTAATGAAGCACACAGACTGAAACTTTGACTATGTTTATGAACAATTATAAACAATCTATTTTTGGACAACTTTTACAAATCTACATTATAAAGTGATTTACAAAGGTAGCAAAATAAGACAGAGTTTCAGAATAAAGCAGTTTGGTATATACAAAAACGAAATGGTGTATTAAAAAAAGGTTAGGAATAGTACAAATGAAAATAAAATGAAGGTGGATCAAAGGCAAATGAAATCCAAGTGAAATACTGGAAGGCAGTGTATAGACTATTTTTTTTAATTAGTTGTACTTTGTAGGTTGTTTTTAATGTTAACCTACTTGTCCTATTTACCCCAGAACTACTTGGTCCTTTCTCCTTGTGATGTTGGGCAATGATAATATAATGACCCTTTCAACAGAGACAAAGTCCACATTGCTGCAAACTATCTGTCTCTGTAATTCCTTTGTGAAGTATTTTTTAATTAGAAACTGCAGCTGCCTGATCGGTCCAGTAAAGCACCAGGTGCATCATGTTTGGCCTGTTTTTCTGTCAGTGTTGCTGCTTGAGGAAAGTTAATGAGGTTTAAGCAGTCTGTGGTGGACACGTGAATCTTTCAAAGATACAGACTAATGTCACTATCGCGCCACCTTGGCTTGGAGGGAAATACGTACAGTAAAGATATTCAAAGATACTAACTGGATGTGACTAAAACTGCTCAACAAAAGTATATATAATTGCCAACTGTTTTTGATAATCAGTGAGTCGTTTAAAGTAATTTTTCATGCAGAAATGCTGTTTTTAGTCTCAAATGTGAACATTTCCTGCTTTTTTGTTAAATGTCATATTAAACTGCATATTTATAGATTTTGGAATAAAAAAACAAAGCATTATTATTTATTTTTCATTATTTTCCGATATATTTTCTAGACCAAGCTGTTAATCGTTTAATCTTAAAAGAGGCAGATTAATCAATACTTAAATGAAAGGTGGGGTAGGTAAGTTTGAGAAACCGGCTCCAGATACACTTTTTCTTATATTCCATGGAATGCTCTTAACATCCTGATAGCAATGAATATCTTAAGTGCTTTGACAAAAAATCCATTAAAATAATTCATCTGTGGAAGCCGTAGTATTGTAAAAAGTACGACCAATCATTTGATATGCAAGGACTGAGGATTGTGTTTCCTGCAAACTAAGCTGTTTGATAAACTAATGTACATATTGTAAAACTTGTTAAGATGCCTTTGACACTGTTTCATCATATATGTTTACACCACAGTCTCTGGTTTACACGAATGCCCCAACAGGGAGGAGGGGGTTGACAGGCCGACATATAGCTGGATAAAAATAACACCTTGTTAATTTGTTTATTTAGGGACAGGGTGTCCAAGGGTGGTCATTACAATTGTTGTCCCAAAAATAATAGCTGGTTGGTAACATTTAACCCAGGATAATGTTTAATGGTTTTTCAGTCTACCATCTGACAGGGAGAGTGTGGGACGGAGTTTTGCAATGTTCCTGAGGTGGTAGAAGGAGGTTTTGCACAGGTGTTTGATGTGGGTGTCAAAGGTCAGATGTCTGTCAAATCTTACAACCAGGTTGGTAACTGCTGTGGAGAGGGGTATGTTTTGGCCAGAAAAGGTAATGTAGGTTATGGGGGATAACCCACAATAGCTTCTGTTTTGGAGCTATTAGCTTGACTTATATCGTAACATTTTATCATCATTTATTATTAGTCGATTTATATATTGGATTCAAAATGTAAAGTAACTGAAGGTTAACAAATATTGTGGAGCATTACAAAAACATTAGCCTTTAAATTGTAGTGTAGTATAAGAATAAAGCAGCATGAAATGGACATAGGCCTACTTGCTTATAAGAGACAATAACAACATTTGTTTAAAAAAACAGAGCAGTTAAGTTTCCTAACACAAGAACTACTAACAGTGTGTGCTAATACAAGTGTAGGTAATGTAAGGTGGTTAAAAATAAATTAGTCAAAACAGTACAGCAACAATGGTTACTCTAGAAAAATATAAAACAAGAAGAACATAAAAAAGTACAGTTCCATGAAACTGAACCTGCAGTACTTGAGTCATGTTACTGAAGTACAGCCCCTGCCGTTAAAATAATATTGTCACTGATCACAGAAATGCAAAAATGCTAACGCTTTTATGCGAACATGGAAGGACTAGAAGTGAATCATCTTGTGTTTAATGTTGTGTCTCTGTACTCTCTGACACTTCCGCCCCCTGGTGGCGGAGCGACACACGACAGTGCACTTTGATGACCACGCTGACCCGTATAGACCTCCCCAAAAAAGAAAAAAAAACACTAAACAATATAATGTTTGTTAATCTCACTCTGATACATCGATATTTTAGACGAACATTAGTTAATATTTGACGTCGGAGATAATTTTTAAAGAGCATTGATACGGTAAGTGAATCCGACATGTGTGCACGTTTACATCTTTAGTGCCAGAAAGTAGTGCAAAGTGCTCAGGTTGTTCTCAGAACTTTGGTTAGAGACAATGTAATGTGCATGACATGTTAACTAACAGGTGATCTGCATTGACTAGTTGGCACACAGTTAGCTTAGCTGGCTGCTAGCTGTCAGCCGTGATGCTAACCTGCATGTCTGCAGAACAACCTCTAAAATGCACGACTGTGAAAAATACACATTGTTTGGGGGGAAAAGGAGAATTTTAATTAATGTGTGAAATTCAAGCTGTTAAAGTTATTTTAAAATGCAATGTTGAACTAAATGTGCAAAATCAGTCAACTAGAAAATGCAGAATGCTGAAAATGCGTGTGAATGCTGCAAGCTGCGCAAATGTGTTGCTGAACTTAGTTAGAAATTCAGAAAAAGTTTAATATTGTATTGGTTGAATGGTGTCTGTAGCTGCTTTTGGATACAGAAACCAAGTAAGTGTGTTGCTGAACTTAGTGGAAAAATGCAGAAAAGTGAAATTGTTTTAATCAAAATTGTTAAAGCTCAAATGCAATGACTGTTGGACAACTTGAAAGTGAGTAGGAAAATAGCGATGCAACTTAATATTGAAAATAAAGGTTTAAACATAGACAAAATATAAAAAATATATACCCTCAATGTCCAGAGCTGAGTAATGTAAGCTTCTTGTTTGAAAACAGTAATATTCTAGGCTTTTAATTTGAAAAAACATCCCGCTTCCTGTAAAGATATCTATAGGGCTTTTATTTTGAAGGGGGTGTGTGAGAGGGGGGATGAGTGTGTGTGACGTGTGTCTGTTTTTTATAGAAATTCAGCAAGACAAAAAGAAGAAAATTACAAAGAAATAAAAAACAACTAATATTCTGGATTATCACAGAATTGATAGTCATAATAGATCAGATCATTACAACAACGAGTAATGATCAAAAAGGACTGTCAGTGTAATGTATGTTGTCATAATGAATAAATATGGACTGATGATGTTTGTATTGCTTAGGCTACTATTTTATTCAGACGTAGATAGGGAGATGTGGTGCTACCAGAAGCCGGAGTTTGAAGCCCTCCTCCTCGCCGAGCTGCAGAGACAGCAACAGTGCAGCCAGTTCTGTGACACCCTGCTCAAGACAGAAGGTATAAAAACACTCACAAAAACACTGTTACCTTTATAGTGTCTTCTTTTAATCAGCACATAGAAGGTTTGCAGATAGACCATCTCATATGGTTTTATGTAGTTGTGGAAGCTATTATCATTACTGACACCTGTCCTTTCCTGCAGGTGTTTCAGTGCCGGCTCACAGCTGTGTCCTGTCCGCTCTCAGCCCCCACTTCTCCTCCACTCTGTCCTCCGCGCCACAGCCCCCTGCAGGACAGAGCCGTCTCCTGGAGTTTCGGGCTCTAAGCGCCTGCACCCTGCTCCACATGGTCCGACTGCTGTACTGTGGGGAGATGGCAGGCGAGGGGGAGAAGGAGAAGCAGGAAGCTATCTCTGCTGCGGCCAAGCTTGGCATCCACGGGCTGGTGGAGGTCACAAAAAGACAACTTGAGAGAGGCAGTGTGAAAGGAGACGGGGGGCACACCGAGGCAGGGGTACAGACGGAGCCGCTGATGCCTGAGGAGGATGAAGGGAGAGGGGGCAGGTGGAGGAGAGAGGTGAGGGATGGGAGCACCTTTCTTTGGAAAGACACACTGTCAGATGGTAGAAAAGACTCATGGACTCAAACAGAGGAGATGCAAGAGCAATTGGTTCCCGCTTATCAACCAGCAGCCCCCCTTGAGACCATTGATGTAGCCGCTTTTCAGAGTTTAGGACAGACCACCTCCCATTTTGTTCCACCTCAAATTCCCTACGTTCCCATATCCCTTGTCTACCCACCTAATGAAAACCCAACACAACAACCATCATATGCCCTCATGGACTCCATGCAGGAATCCACCTCAGCAGCTGGGTTCATGTCTATTTTGGCACCTCAGCACACCTTTGTCCCCCAGACTCTTCTTCCTTTTTCCAGCCAAGGGCCCCCCTGGGCTGCTGGGCTTCAGAGCTGGTGGGCCGCCCCCCAGGAGGCAGCCAGAGAAGCAGCAGCTAACGAATGGGAGGACCAGAATCTGGAGCAGTTTGATGACTTCCTAAACCCGGACAAGGAGGAGGGCGTCGGCAGGGGGCGAGCAAGAAGGAGGCGGGGCACAGGAGAGGGAGGTGCCAGGAGAGGGGGGGCAGGAGAGAGGAGAGCCAGGAGATCACGAGCAGGAACAGGAGGGAGGGGGAGAGGAGGGTTGACGCAGATGGTGGATGTGCAGGAGGTGGGGGTGAGCAGGCTGCAGAAGCTATTCCTGCAGAGGGTCTGGGGGGGGACGCCCAGGACGGGACAGGGCGGAGGGGCTGCAGGCAAGAAGCTGTTCCTGAAGCCCAGAGAGCTCCTGAAGTCAACGAAGAAAAGAGGGCCCGGCAAAGTGTGGGGGGTGGGAGACGTGCTGCCATACAAAGGGGAGAGAGGAGGTCAAACGCAGCATGGGAGGAAGAGAACAACGCAGGAGGTTAACCCGGTGAGTACAGACGTAACGCTGTCCTATTCTAACACAATCAAATCATAACATTAATAATAATAATAAAAAATACATTTGATTTGTTAAGCACCTTTCATTACTAAAAGCAATCCCAAAGTGCTACAAGGGGCATAAAATACATACTTATAAACACAAGTTTAATACAAAAAGTTATTTAACATAACAACTTAAATTGAATATGAAAACAAGGACCTGTCAGTTAAGTCAGTCTCCAGTGTCAGTTTGAGAGCATTTTACACCTTGAAATACTATATTTAGATTTGTAATAGAAATTAATCAGGAGGTTCGTTTAAAATCTGTAATGTTTTTTTTTAATAAAAAAATAAAATCCTGATAAATGACCAAGGAATCACATTTTTTTTGGTAAACATAAATAACATAGAAAGTGTGAAAAATAACTACTTTTTTAAATACAGCCCTCCACATCTTTGTCAGTGTCATTGGTTAATCAAGATGTCCCTTGAGTTCTGACCAATCATTTAGCTCGAAGAGGAAAACAACTCAGATATCAAACTTATTGTATACTCACTGTAGAAATCTAAAAGCACTTTATGACACATTTCAAGACCTCGTGCATTAGTACTTTTTATTGTTTTTCAATTGATACATTCTTTTCCCAACAGAACGGTCTTCCCGTTGGGCGGCCGAGGAGAGGGAGGCCCCCGCGTGTTCCCCCTCACGAGGAACAGCCCGAACACATTGAACGTCTGCTGGAGGAAGTGATGAACGACCTCGATATTTTTAAAAACAACGGTGCTCCTCAGCCTCCTCCTCCAACCCGCAGCAGCGACGTGGCCTCCTGTGGAAATACTGTGACACAAAACAAATCAGGCTCCAATGGGTACCCACGGGTTGTTGTTGTCGCGAGAGGAGGGGGCAGCCCCAGCGTAGCAAACCCTGGGACCCCCATTCTGCAGCAGCAGGGGGAGGGGGAGGGGGAGGTGAACGAGACGCTGAACACCTTACTTCAGTCCTTTGAGCACAACATTGACAGCTGCTCCGCCTGTGAAGAGGCTAACACCGCTCAGAGAAAGAATACACCTCCTCCTGCCAGGCAACCGAGTGACGAGGCTGAAACACCTCTGAGGCGTTCACTGTCTTCTGCTCGCAGTGCCGCTCCACCTGAACACACAGAGGGATCAACGGCACCAGACAAAATAAGAAAAAGGAAAAGGAAAAGAATAAAGCCGTATATGCTCTCATTGGACAGAAAGAGGGTGAGGGTGAGGAAGCCGGTGTCATCCAGTGAAACAAAAACCACAAAGATTTTGGACCAGAGAGACGTGAAGCTGCTTCATACGCCTGGGTTGAAACTGGAGAGGAGCGGCCGGCTGTCGGACAAAGTGATGGAGCGCAGCTGCAAGGAAGTCAAGGTGGAAAACTTTGCTAACTCCACTCTGATAATGCTTCTGATGATCTCTGCTGATCTCTGCTGTCACCAGTACAGCACAGTCTGATACATATACATGTGAGGAAGAAACTGGGTTGTTACAGCCACAGAGTGTGAAATCAAATGTATCAACTCTTTTTGTGTGTGAATGTATTTTTCAGAAATCTGCCAAAACAAAGCGCAGTTTATCATCGGTGACACAGCCACGGGACAGCGTCCGGGAAGCAGCTCCGCCGATTGCATGGAGCACAAAGACTTACCCAATCAGGAGCCGCTTAAGAAAGGCAAATATGGTGAGCATTGATATTTTTTCAATCTCCAAATGTGTCTTTTAAACATCTGTTATTGTGGTGCTAATCCTCATGATTTCCATCCTGGTTGATTTGGTGACACCCTGTCTGCTAGCAGTAATATCAAATGTAATTTAATACTCTCAAGATACTGGGGGCGAAACACAGCGCCGTCTGCAAACAGTGAGTGTTAGGAGAAACGTTTATATGTTTACTGCATTTTATTTCAAATGAAAATGTTAACAAAACTCTCTGAGATAATAAAGCCTGCTAACTCTTTCTAACTAATGCCTTCAGGTAAAAACTTTACTATGTCAAATAAATTAGATTTTCATCCAAATACCTTCAAATACATTCCATGGTGAACACGGTGATTTGTACACCTGCTTCACATCAGCCTGTTAGCATTGTCATTGTGTCCTGTTAGCATTTAGCTAAAAGCTTGGCATAAGTACACTACATAAGTAAGTGAGTTGGTAGCATTGCTGTAAACTCTTGTTTGTAAATGTGTCTTTATGATTGAATACGATTCATTTGTTTTTCAGGACAGTGCACCCTTTCTTGTGGAGCCACTTCAAACTAAGCGACCATCATCAGCAGGCCCCGGAAGAGACAGTTTATCTAATGGTAAGAGATCACCATCCAGGGTGATAAAAACATCCACAAACAATTGGAAATGAATACGATGATGCACATTTAAAAGTATATACATATTTTCTACATGTTATATTGTTGTACACATCTAGTTTGAACATACTTATAAATATTAAAGAAATTGTTTGATTTCATCATTTTGATTCATATTTCTCTGAGTCTGGAGAGTAAAACATATAAAGACTCTTTCTGCGGTGCAATACATATTTAGATTTAATTTACATAGAGCTAGTTTCACGCATAATATTTAAATATGGACGTGGTTTCCACTATTGCAACCATTCTGACCTGACTAAGAAAGTATTATTACATCTGTTTGGCGTGGAGTAAGTGTGTGTTTAGACGCTGTCTGTCATGCCTTGCACCGACATGATCTGTGTCTAATTATTATTTTCTACAGAGAGTTCATCACTACCTGTTGAGCCACAGCCTATGGAGCCCTGTGTAATGGATGAACAACTACAGAGAAATCCAGAGACACGTGAAGAAGAAATAACAGTCCAGCATCAGGAAGAGGTAGAGGAAGAAACAAGGAGGGGAGAGAAGAGACACACCGAGCCAGAGGAGACGGGTGAGGAATCCTCTGTGCCTAAGAGGGTCTGCTTTGAGCAGACAGCACAGCCGACCTCTGAAACATGCGCACTGAGCTGTAAATCTGCAGACTGTGTCTCCGGACCAGCACCCAGAGAGAGGAGGGACATAGTCTCTGTAGAGACTGTTCCCATTGCAGGAGAGTGCTTACCAAGACAAGATGAAACAAAGAGGGGTGAAATCAACATCAGAGAAACTGACTGTGAGATGGAGAGCAGTGGGGATGACATGATTGCTGTGGACGGAGAACCTGAAGACTCGGACACTTCACCTCAGACTCATTGTGTCGATGCAAAGCTTTCACTTTCACCCACTTCACTTTCAGCAACGGAGTTCAGTCTGACGTCGACAGGAAGCTGGGAGGATGACGAGGACGTCGATGTGATCGGCGGTTCCAGTCCCGCCCCTGATCCCGTGCTCTTCAGCTGGACAGAGTGCTCAGAGGTTGAGGAAGAGGAAGGAGACGAGGATATTGACGTTGTGGGAGACAATCCAATCTACACTTCATCATCGCTCCTTGCTACTGTGAGGTGAGCTAGTTAACAAGGATCGTCACACTGGGGTGCTTCACAAGCAGCTGTCAGGTTTTTTTCGACTTGTCTTCTCCAGTTCATGTTATTTGATTTCATGGAAAAACATTCCTGAATTGTTTTCATTTAGCTTAAGAGTTGAAGATAAATAACGTCTGATTATAAATGTCTGACAATCACGTGAGAGATTTGTGAGCGACTTGTTGACTATCTGTTTGGATTTAAAGACAAAAAAGCAAACATGTGCATCATAACTCTGAAGGCACTCACATCAGCATCAAAATAGAGGACTGTTCATATGCACTTATTCAGTTCCTGAGTTGAGTTAACCATTGTCAAAAGGTGACTTTTGTATTCTTTCGAGGTATTAAGCAGTTGATTTTATGTATAAAAAAAAGTATTGCTGTTAAGTTCAGTGATTTTATGTTTACTAAGCAGAGATATTCATCATAGTTTGTTTTAACTGCAGAAAGTGAGAAAAACAGCGATATAGAAACAGTTTAGAAAGAGATGCAGTGCAAAAACAATCAAAAAGTGTGTTTTAGGCGAGTGTTTTATTACTTATAATTATGACTATTACTGTTTTAGTTGTACAAATGTTGACAATATTAGCCTTTGTTAGTTGGAAATGTTCCAGGAAACTTCTGTCTTCCTTGTTTTACTGTTAAGTTATGTTTGGTAATGTTCCTTGTGGCACTTTTGAGTCTGGACTGATTTCTACAATAAATGTTCCTCTCTACTTCCTGCAGAGGCTCTTTTCTGTGACTCTACATGCACTTCACTCAAAATTGTTTCACCTTTGGGGTGTGGATTATTTTTTATGTACAAAGAAATGTAAAAGTTATTTTCCCAATTCAAAACATTTTTTAGCACCTTAAATATGGTACACAGGTTTAAATGCAGTTAATCCTATTCGGACTTGAAAAGAATGGTTTCAATTACAACTGAACTCCTGACTTGAAAAAAGAAACTATAAAGTGTGTTTCATCAAAACATAATATGAAACTTATCCAAATACTTTTGAGAATGTATAGACATTTAGATAGTTCTCTACAAACTTAAAAACCTACAGGTGGTGTTACATGCTGCAAAGAGAGTACATTGTATTCATCATATTCACACTTTTATAATAAAACAAGAAGACATGAAGTGAAATGGAGTTTATTAGTAATCAACCTCCTGCACACAACAACACATCTGAGCTGCACTGAGGAGACTGGGTGCTGCCTGTGGGGGCTTTCTCTCATCATGTCTTCATGTTGGAGCTTCACCTCCCCTCTGTTCAAGCTCGCTGAGGATTCACTCTACTCATCGCCCAGCTCAGGTAAGGAGTACAGCGCAGGTGTGTGTTTGTGTGTGAGTGCGTAGGAACCTCTAAACCAAGTAAAAAGACCCTATGAGTGTCAGCGTGTGTGTATGTGGAGCATGTGTTTCCCTGTGCTTTAACAGTGTGATATTGTCTCTTATCACACTGGCAGCATTTGTAAATCAGTAGTGTTGGGGGGCGGCTGTTGCATCTCAAGTCAAGAGGAAGGAAAGGATTGAAGAGGGGGATAAAGAAAGAGGAAGGGGTTTAGAGGGGTCGAGGGGTGTCTGTCTCAGTCTGCCTCTTAGTGCTGGATGCGCCTGATGGACTGGATCTGGGGGGTCTGACAGTGGGACCCCCAGTTCTTCCAGTGCTGGTAGTCTCCGCTGTGCCTCTCACACTCCATGATGTACTGCTGGCCCCTGTATCCAGGGTGCTGGTAGCACACAAAGCTGCAGGAGAAACAAACAACAGTTAGTGGGAGTGGTGACAAATGGGGGGATTTAGGACACACTTGGAGATTTAGCTTGTGTGTTTAATACATAAACTATGTGTAGGTTTATTTGTGAATATATTTTGGTAGCCGGATTTGAAATGGATATTCAAGTGTAAATATCCTTGGAAGTGGAGGAGCATTTCGAGTATGTCCTGATAAAATGCATCCCATCAATCAGGTTCACTTACGCGCCGCACTGCACGTGCATGGAGCCAACCTCGGGCATCATCCAACCCATGGCCTGCAGAGAGGGGTAGTCGTCACAGATCTCAGAACTGCGGCCCATGAAGTTCTCCTTCTCAAAGATGAGCATGCGACTGCTCTGGTGGGACTGCGGGGGGGGGGGGAGAAAAAGTTTGACTTTGGAATCCCCAGGTAAAGGTTGAATGTCACCTGAACACTAAGAGACAGGATGTACTCACAGCGCAGAAGATGGGGCGCAGAGACATCAGACGCTCCACGTGGTAGGAGAGGGAGCCGCTGTAAGCATCCCAGTGGGGGTACTCTCCCCTCTCCAGGATAAACTGCTGGCCCTGGAAGTCGTGGTGCTCAAAACCCACCCAGCTTATCGAGAGAGAGAGAGAGATGTTATCATCACTTCACTGTATGGCCATCTGAAGAGCCATCTAATTTAGATCCTGGTGTAATTAAATTCTGACTATGTCCCAGGGTTGCTCTATTAAATCATGCAGCTCAAAAGCATTTTATTTCCAAAATAGCCTTTCTTTCATTCAGAACACAACAATTCAGTCCCTTTGCATAGTCAACAACATCATTTTCTTGGTGCTTAAAGCATCCACATGACTCCTCTTTATCTCCTCTTGTTGTTTGTAATGATTAATCAATAGAAAACAAATGGGGATAACAGTTTTACTTGAGTATATGTCATTAACATGTTGTACTGTCAGAATACTATGTCTAATTTGTTTACAGTGTAACATGTTTGAGACACTTACGCTCCGCTCTCCACCCTGATGGAGCGGATGTTGTCCAGTCCACAATCCTGGACGTTGCAGCACTCAGAGGTGAACTCCAGGCACTTGCCCTGGAAATGCTCCTGCTCGAAAACAGTCACCTGAAAGAGACAGAGGATAAGAGGCATCAAGTTACAAGAAGTATGTTGGCAATACAGTTGTATAAAGGGTATCCTCCTTTAGCTTTCAGCATCAAGCAGAATTTTTGCTCAAATGTGAGTGTTTACCTTGAAGAAAGGAGCCATGCCCATGCCAGAGTTGACCAGGGGCTGCATCATTGGGGATCTTGTAGTTCTGTACATCTTTACTCCTGAGATGTAAATAAGAAAAAAGACTTTTTTAAAAGCATAAATGATTTAACAATGAGATATTCCACACTGTTTCTGCACAATTTGTTGTAGTGTTACATTCTCACTTCTAAAGGCACACCACAAATCTCTGTATAACATTCAAGCGGTACAACTCCCCAAAAAAATCTGAATTTAAACATCTGGAGGCCAGCAATGGTTAATATACCTTCTGTCTTTCTATCTTTTTTAAATTTAGAAAAAAATCTGAAACTTAATTCAGATTAAAATGAAGGTGTTGTACAGGTGATTCAGCAAGTGCTTTTGTTTTTTTCAGTGTCTGCGTGAAGCACCTGGGGTTCACCTGTCTGTCTGTCTGTCTGTCTGTCTGTCTGTCTGTCTGTCTGACTCTGAGCTGTATGATAGCAGAAAGCATCCTTACCTAGATTGGCACTTTATTGGAAGAGCTTGAAAGTGATACGCCTACGGCTTGCCTCGCGTAGAGCTTTGCGGGAACCTGGCGCCTCAGTTTTATACCGACGGTCGGGGAGCGCGCCTGCTGTTGCGCGTTCACGGCTCTGGTTAGACCTGGCCGTGATGCGCGCCCCCGGGTCGGCTGCGTGTCCGCTGCATGCTGTTGTCCTGCTCCAAGGCCAGCTCAGCACATCCCATAGTGCTGCTGGGGCTGCGGAACAAAGGCGCTCCGGTATGTTCGGACCCCGGTCAGCAGTCCAGCCCGTGCCCCGGCACAATGGGCCTGGGTGGGGTGGAGAATGTGGGGATTAACGGCGGAGTAGAGAGGCAGTGATACACAGAAGAAGATAACTGGTGTGTCTTTATATGAGAATAGAAAGGCTAGATATCTATAAAGTTAATTTCAGTGCTATTTGTTCAAACAATAACGTCTAATTTACAACAAACGATTTAGTGCGTGTACCTTCATGGGTGCAGGTGTAGGCTACACCTGTTTGCACACATATCTGAGATCTGGTTATGTCAATGATGTAAAAAGTGGAGAACAACGTGCTGTGATGACAAAGATGGACTTTTATTAATCCCTCGTGGGGAAATTGTTTCTCTGCATTTGACCCATCCTAGTGTTAGGAGCAGTGTGCTGCCATTTTGAACGGCGCCCGGCGCCCGGTGCCCGGTGCCTTGCTCAGGGACACCTCGGTAGCTCTTGGTCTTGCCGGGACTTGAACTGGTGACCTTCCAGTTGCCAAGCCAAGTCCCTATCGACTTCGCCACCACCGCCCCAAAAACCTGTTGTTTCAAAGTTTCCCTGCAGTCACATTTATCCCATTCTAAATTAAAACAAACGTGCCAAGATTTAGAGTATTATGGTTTCAAACCTCTGTGTGGGGGTGTTCCAGGTGAGAGGTTTAATAACTGTAATAACCCAACAAAAAATTGGGACTATTTTATTCAGATATAATGTAACACACAAGTTAATCACTGGTATTATCTGGAAACATTCAAAAACATTCATGAAAAAGCTTTTAATTTGCAGATTCATTTAGCCACAGTTAAACATTCATGTCATTGTATTCATGTGTCATACTGCTTTATAAATTGAATAAGCAGATTGGTATGTAGACTAGAGAATATATGACATATAAATTAATGCTGCTTATTTGATTTAGGGGGCATGATTTACCTCTAAAAGTTGATTTCAGAAACATCAACTTGTATCAGATTTGTTCTGTTAGTAACTGGTCCTCAGTCTGAGCTACATCTCCTGTCAGTCAGCCTCTGCCTCCGCCCGCCCCCTCTGACCGCCCCTCTCTGATGATGTGGGGTTTCTTTTGTCTCGTGTCTCTGACCTCAGCAGGTTTGTTTCTCTACCCATAATCCCTCTCCTGTGGGCGCCAGCATATATAAAGGAGGTGCGCACTTCGAGCCGCACACACTTCGAGTGAGGCTTCTCATAGGAATCACACACACACACAGGTAAGGTACAAACACATACTGTATACCAACAGGTGTGTTGAGATACAAATCAGAAGGAAAAGGCATAGATTAAATTAAATGATCCAGTTTATTTTAAATACCTTTTTTAAAATGTTACATTTATAGTCTTTCCTCTATCTCGAAACACTTTCACTGGTGCAAACAGGATTGATTTGTCATATCAAAGTTTCCACTCTTATGATTTTTTTCTCTCTTTCCACCCAGCAATCATGTCCAGTGATAAGTCCAAGAATTCTTCCCAGACCGACGGAAAGGCTGCTCAGAGCAAGAAGTCTGAGATGGGAATGATGTCCTACAAGGTGGGTATCTCTTGCACGGGATATCAGGATATATTCAGGTTATCATATCACAGATAACTGACTCATCTGTGTTTATCTGTCCCTTCTAGATGTACGTGTTCGACCAGGAGAACTTCCAGGGTCGCATGATCGAGATCAGCAACGAGTGCATGAATGTGTGTGAGATGGGCATGGACCGTGTGCGCTCTGTGCGCGTTGAGTGCGGACCGTAAGTCTCAAAGAAGATTTTTTTTTAGTAATTATATGCAGTCATCTTGCAGCATGGATGCTTCATAATATTGTCTCCTCTGTAGCTTCGTGGGCTTCGAGCAGATGAACTTCTGTGGTGAGATGTACATCCTGGAGAAGGGAGAGTACCCCCGTTGGGACTCCTGGAGCAACTGCCAGAAGAACGACTACCTGCTGTCCTTCAGGCCCGTCAAAATGGTACAAAAAACATGCTTGATTTCTTACTCACAAGTTTCTCTTTTGCTTTCGACTGCCAGCTAAACTAGTGTTTCTCCCTGTTTTCCTCTACTCCAGGACGCTGAGAAGCACAAGATCTGCCTGTACGAGGTTGGAGAGTTCAAGGGCCGCAAGATGGAGATCATGGATGATGACGTTCCCAGCCTGTTCTCCTACGGCTTCACCGACAGAGTTGGCAGCATCATTGTCAGCTGTGGAACGTGAGTGGTTGAAGCTATCACTGATAGAAAGAAAATGTACCTACAGTATCCGGGGCTGACATATTTCCTCTGTTTTCTCCAGCTGGGTGGGATACCAGTTCCCCGGATACCGTGGCAGCCAGTACCTACTGGAGAAGGGAGACTTCAGGCACTTCAACGAGTTCGGTGCCCGCCATCCTCAGTTCCAGTCCGTGAGGCGTATCCGTGACATGCAGTGGCACCAGCAGGGCTGCTACACCATGGCCAGCAAGTGAGGCTCAGGGAAGGAGAAAGAGAAAGAGCGGAGGAAGAGGGAAAGGGGGAGAGATGTCTGAGGCCTTACCTCAGTACCTTAAACAGTCGATGTGATAATGCAGTGAGGGGAAGGGTGAGGATCTAGATCTGTCCCAGTGGAAGATGGACCACCCTCCATCCCTCTCTGTCTACTCTTCTCTTTCTCCCCTATGGGCTGAGCTTTGCTTTCCCCCATTTTCTCCCTTTTTTTAGTCCCTCACTTCATTCCCCCTCCACAGTCCTCTTAGAAGCCAGAGAGGGAACAAGACTCCCCTTGCTGTTTTACCAACTTGATTCTCGGTTCAGGGTATGATGCATCACGGGAAACTGACTCCCTAGAGCCCCCTGCCCCCGTCTTCTTGCCCCTGTGCATTGCACACCCTCTCTGCTGTACAGAATCCTGGCCAAGTTTTCAATAAAAAGGAAAATCTTGATTTAAAAAAATGTTGTTGTTGTTACTTATTACTAAAAGATCCCCTTAACGAATTGTAAATGACATTCAGAAATATGTCAGATGAATCCTTTCTAAGTTATCACATTTCATGAAAAGTTTCATATTTGTCTTAAGAATTATTGTTATGCTTAATCGGGTTTGGAGAACAGAAAAAAAACATGTTGGTGTTGAAACTCCTGGATTGTGTAACTCATGGCTTTATAATATCAACAGGACACACCTACAACTCAGAATGCAGTAATTGAGTAAATGCTCCAAATGGCTTTTATGTGAAAGTCAGTGTCAAGAAAATAAGATAGTGGTTCATGTGCTGATTGTATGCAGGAAGTCTGAAGTGGCTACGGGTTTATCACAAAATGTGTCCAGATTCATCCAAAATATAATTTATAGAAAGAGAAAATAAACATTTAGGTGTGTTCTTTATGCAAACCAGACCATTTAATGATGTACTAGTGAAACCAGTAGGAGGCAGTAATGTAACTTAAATCATTCCAACTCTCAGAAAACCCCAAATTAAAGGTAGGGTAATTCACTTCAGAAACACTTGTTGTTATATTCCATGGAATGCTCTTAACATCCCGATAGCAATGAATAAATTAAATGCTTTGACAATAAATATATACAAATATTTAATCTGTGAAAGCCGTAGCACTGTAAAAAGCTAGACCAATTATCTGCCCCGGCCCGTGGCAGATAATTGGATGGCCTACCTGCCTGTCAGCCTTGGAGGGGCTCTGTAAGGAAGTCTGAAGGAAGGGGCAGATTTTTTCGGTTGTGTACTTTCAAATTCTAGCGCACTCGAGCTGGTTTCTCCATTTTTGCAGTCTATGATTCTTACCTATGATTCTTACTTACCCTAGCTACCTTTTAGTAGAAGAAGAGGAGACTCAAGTCAAACACACCCGCAATGATGGTGACCAGGTGCATACTAAATGCTAATAATGTAATGGTCTTGGTGGATCCTCCAGTGGTGGCATTTGTAAAGTTTATGAGACCATTCAGCTGTTTGTGACTTTTAATCCCTACATAACCTCAGTAATCGTATAATGTTTACTCACGTTGAGTACAGTGGGACAGACAGAATAACAGAAGTCTGGAGCAGATTGGAGGACAGTGGACAAGGCTCACAGAAAAACCGTCCAGATAGGTGAGTACAAACAACACACTGGTGCAGGTGGTTTTATAGGATGTGTTAACTTAGTGTGACCATGCAGCCCAACAGGTGTATAACTTACACTTTGCAGATCTCTTTATCTTTATGTGTTGCTACACCTGCAGTGGATGTTGTATTGTTTAAAATATGTCTGCTTTTGTGTTGTTTAACTGTTGATTTTGTAAGAAGTGTCAGGTTATTTTATTAATGTAGCCTTATATTGCTTGTTATTAGCAGTTATTTTGTGTTTTTCATTTAAATGTGATTGTGTTGTCCTCTTTTCTGGTTAATTCAAGCGAGGTTGTTGGCACAATGAGATCTGCATGCTATGAGATATTAAAGGTGCACATTCGGCTTAATTCTTTCCTACACTTTATGTTGACCTCAGCACATGCAGTGCAATTTCTTGTTGAATACCCTTTTAAACAATGCCCCCCCTTGCCGAGTCACCATTAATTTAAACCTTTTACGTAATTGACACTGTACACGCAGTCCATGTTTAAAGCTCCATATTAATAGACTGGTTATTTCATGATGTGATTGTATGCCACATCCTTCATGTTTACCTTGTCAAAATCATTTGCCATAAACTTCATGTACATTCCTTTATTTTAAAAATGATTTTTCCATTTTACCAAACACTTTTTTTTTACACTTAAAGCTCAAACATTGATATATAAAAAAACAGCTAAAAAACACAGAGTCATAAATGTTGTCTGATGCGGCTTTCACACCAGCGCTTTTCCCTTTCTAGCTCCGAGCTAGAGCTTTTCTGGTTCAGCTCCGGTTTCCCTTTTCTGCTCCCGCTCTGTTCACACCGCCCAGCACCCGACTGGTGCTGCCGCTGCTGCGTCATGACGTCATCGTTTACATCGCTGATTTGCTCCCCAACGGCGTTACGGCGCTCACAACAACAACTGCGTCGGGTCGATGATCGTGTTGCTTTTAATCACACGAAGCCAGATTAAATTGAATAACGACTTCTCCAACCTTATACTTGGCTCCAGAGTGCCGTGGTTCATTGTTTATTAATGTGTTTCTGCAGCATTTACCGACCGCTGCAGTGTTGGCTGCTCTTCCACGGGAGTTTATTATCCTCCGTTAGCTCCCGGTTAGCTCACACTGCTGCGGCCGCTCTAAAGTATTCACTGTCCGACTCACACAAGCAGCTGATACATATCCCCAGTTCCCCTTAGCCTAAGTGAATGTGTGTCAGTCTGAATTGACGCTGTTTGCTATCACAACGCTGTTATGAAAGTTTCTCTGGTATAAAATGGGTGATGTTAGCATAGCAACCGAAGCTAAACTGACTACTTGCTATTGCTATCCTATTGTGGCATAATCCGTTTTCTACAGGCACATTTTACCGGCGTATTTTAATTATGATTCTATTTGTGATAGTCGGACACGACAACCTGTGCAGCCCATGTATTGATTCCATCCGATAGCTGCTATAATACAAAACAACACGTTTTCTCTCTCCACAATGATCAATAACAGTGAACGGATGGTCAAAGTAAGGTACAAATAAACAGAATCACACGAAGCCTGGTTAGTGTTGCCTGACTTTATAAAGTGTGTTTATAAGCACTACTGCTTGGAGGCAGGCATGACAGTCGACCCATGTTCAGGGGAGGAGGGTTTAGTTTCCTGCACGCCTCGACGTAAGAGAGACGTAAGCGACGCCACCTCTTAGCTCCAAAGCTCTTGCCTCGAGACCAGTGGTTCCCAAACGGTGTGCCGTGAGGCAAGTCCGGGTGTGCCGTGGGATTTTGTGCAACCATACGTTATTATTGCAATATACAACTACACAAAAATAATTATTTTTTAATTTACTATCAGTACTTTGTAGGTTTATATGTACGTAATCTGCGCGACTTGCGCGTCCACATGTCCACGTGCAGTGCTGCATAAACATGGCTGAGTCAGCGATAACTCTCGAGGGGTGAAGGTATGCCCATTACTTTGAGTTCGTCCGAAGAATAGACAGGAATGTGACGGTGAGGTGCAAACTGTGTCCAGGCCAGAAGCTGTTATCCACTGCTGTAAACACCACGTCAAACCTCAACAAGCACCTGCAAAGAACACATGCTAAGGTGAAGCTACCGCACACGCTATTTGTTGTTTGTTTACATCACGTAGTCTGTTCTTCTTCTCTGTCTTCCGGTTGTTGCCTGTTTTGAATGACAAATACACACTACCGCTGCCTGCTGGTAAGGAAAGTTATTGCCACTCACGCATGCGCAGTTCGTACGTGCTCGGCGAGTAAAGTAACGAGTTACTTTATGTAGATAGTAACGAAGTAGTGTAATATATTACTTTTTTTTAAGTAATACATTTATAATTTATAATTTATAATTTGTAGTTCAGGACCATGGACAATGCAGCTTCCTTGCATTGACAGTTCTCTGTGCTGAATTTCTGCTGAGTTTCCTTTGCCTCATTTTTTATTTTGTGACCTGTCTGGTTTAAATGTGTGTTGCTGCTTTGATGAAGCCTAATTTGATAAAATTTCAAATTAATTTCTGAAATATTTCGTAATATAGTGGTCTTTGTCACATTTTATTTGGCATTAGTAAATAATTATGCACATTTACAGATATTTTACATGATATGAATGATAACACGTGTTATAAGGGCTATTTTGCACAATAGGTGTGCCTTGAGATTTTTACTTGTCCTTTGGTGTGCCTTGGGCACAAAAAGTTTGGGAACCACTGCTCTAGACCGACAATTTTTTGGAGCTGGAAGTGAACCAGATTCCGGAGCTAAGAGCCGGCGCCGCTCCGGTGTGAACAGGAAAAACCGGCGCTTTTCAGGCTCCAGCTCCGAGCCGGAGCTGAAAAAGCGCTGGTGTGAAAGGGGCATCAAAGCGCTTGATATGTTTTACGCTATTAAAGTGCTTTATCTTTGTATTGCACCTAGTGTTCAGAAGTGGATAGTCATATGATTTCTACTCTGGATACTATTCGTGCAGTCAAAGCCTTTTTGTATTCTTATTTGTTTAATACAAAAATACAATTTTGTGTGTGCAGTCTTACAAGCAGATGCAGCAGTTGCACAATGTCTGGCTGTACATTGTGTGACATGTGGGCATTCTGCTCAGCGGGACATCATTCGCACAAATTCTGAAAGAATAAGAGAAAGGGGTGAGTGGGATAAAGATTAGGATTAATGTAGTTGCCAAAAATATCCCACAAATGCAAAAAGAAAGTATTTTACCCTCAAAGTCCACCAGGCCGTCTCCGTTGAGGTCGGCGTCACGGAGGATCTCGTTGATCTCTCTGTTTGTCACTTGTTCTCCCATCAGCTTCTTCATAGCTTCACGGAGCTCATTCAAACTGATCTGACCGTCACCATTAGAGTCAAACTGGACACAGAGAGATAGATGCTAAGGATGACTCCTGAATATCTTCAATTTATAGTATCAAACTGAATAGATTGGGAAATACACTAGTTTGCTTTAGTTGCCTGCAACTATGCCCACTATACCCGCTTTGGGGGGAAGCTACAGTATATGAACAATTTATCAAGATAACTTTTTCAAAGAACATAAACTGTATTTTGTTATACCCCTGTCAAAAGCCAGAACAATATCTCCCAACCTGTTCCAATATAAAGGTTGTCCAGAAGACGTTTTGGCTTATCATAGGCACAGGTAGTAACCCCACCAATAATAGCTTTATCTCATCACTTTTTGCAGTTGAATGTCTGTAGATTAACAACTTTAAGTAACAGTATATCTTGACCTCTTTGAATGCATCACGTAGTTCCTTGATTCCGATCATGTCTGCTGTCTCTGCCAGCATCTTGGGTCCCATCAGCTCCACAAAGTCC